TTGTCTTGGAGAACTCACAGTTCGTCTGGATTTTGATGTCGATCTTGTTGTGGTCATCGTTGTTGGCTGACGGAGCGTTAAGAGAAAAGATAATTTGAATTTTACATTGTTTACAAAGAAATATATCATTCATTATGTTTACACTGATTGATTGATTGACTGCTAGTTTGATTGATTCATAATCTATTACAGAAACTATAAATAAATTTATTTACCTGAATATGCAAAGATATGAAACTGATCGAGGAGACAGACTGATTGATTGACTGACTGATTGATAATTCATAATAAATAAATAATTTCTTTATTGATTGACAAGGTATATTGATTGATTGACTGACTTATGTGTATCATCAATATTTTTAGGAAACGAAATAAATAATACAAAGAAACATGCGAATTTGTTTATCCATATATTTAAAAATGTCCTGACTGATTAGAGGACTGACCAGATTGATTGACTGACTGACTGATTGATGAACTACACTTGTTAAATTATCTGCGCATATGACTCTTTGGTCTTGACTGATTGACTGACTGACTAACTGATTGATGACCTATGGAATATGGAATAGATAGAATATTTGGTCCTGACTTTTTGATTGATAAGCAGCTGATTGATTAATTGACTGATACTGAAATCACAACAGCTACTGGCACAACTATGTTAAGGCTTTCTGCTTGTTTTTAACTCAAGGCTTGCTTACTTACACTCATTGTCAGTCGCTGTGGAGTTGTTGCTGCTGCTCTGATCCTTTTGCTCCTTTTGCTGTTTGCGCAGCGCATTCTTCTCGCTGCGCATGTACTCCTTGTGCAGGGAGGTCATCTTGAGGCCCGTGAGATCCGATTTCTGTCGCTTGATGATGGAGGTGCGTGCATTTGGCGAGGGTGCCACAATATTATGGCTGCAATGGCTGCTGCTTCGCGCTAAGCCAATGGATGGCTTCGGCTTATCCTTGTCCTTGTCTTTGCACTTTTCCTGCTCCTTGTCCTTTTCCTTGGCCTGCTCCTTTTCTTTGTCTTGCTTTTTCACATTGGCTGCTGTGCGCTGTGCTGGAAACGAGTTCACCTTGGCCTTGGCATTCTTGATTTCCGGCCTCGACGCCGGCGGCGCCATCATTTTGGCCGCCTTGTTGCCAGCCTTGGGTTTGATGATATCAGTTGCGGGCATTTTGCCGGCCAAAGTGGATTTGCCGCTGGCCTGGCTCCTGTTGGCAGCTGCAGCTGCTGCTGCCGCCCTCTCACGCTGCTGCTTGTCCTTTTCCTCCTTCTGCTCGTTGAGCAGCGCCAGGGTAGGCAGACTGGCATAGCCCGTGGGCTGATTGAAACGATTCGCCCAGTGCATGCTGGTGCGGCGACGATTCTTGACCGTCAGCCAACCGTCGTTGGCATCCGGCAGCAGCTGCTTGGGCTCCGAATGGCGCTCGTCCAGCTTGAGGGTGCTGCGCGAGCTACTCAGCTGTTCGTTGCTGGCCTTCAGCGTGGACGTCGAGCTGGCTATGTCCTCACGTGAGCTCAGGCGTATGCTGGGCGCGCTGACACGCTTACCGACAGCCGGCATGGTGCCTGTGCTCAGCAGCGTGCTGCCGGTGCGTCTGGCTAGCGGCTTGGGCAACACTGCTGCCACGGTGGCGGCGGCCACCGCATTGCCATTCATGTCCAGCATGGTCCGTGATCTGGCGGACAGCCGTGTGGCCACATTGTTAGGCGGGCCATAGCATTCCGTTTTGCTGCTGGGACGCGGCGGTGGCACACGCGCGCTGCGTGCCGCAAAGGTCTTCAAGTTGTTGTTGTTGTTGTTGTTGTTGCTGCTGTTGTTATTGTTGAGCCGCCGCAAGCCGTTTGGTGGAGCCGCTGTCTTGGCCAGGGCTGGTTTGCTGTTCAGCAATTTGGTATTGCTGTTAGCTGCTCCGCCCATTTGTCCATTTGCCTTTTGGCTGCCGCCACGCGCCGCCACCGGTCGATTGAGCACACTCGAGTACTTCAGCGGACTATTCTGCATGGCGCCGCCCAGTGGCTGCGATTGGTTCTTTTTCTCTGCCGGCGGCATGGTGACCGGTTTAAGCAGCGTGCTGGGCGGCGTGGGCGTCTTGTTGGCCTGCGCTATTAACAATGCGTTCTCCATGGCATCCAAGCGGGAGACGGTCAACTCCAGAGCTGTGGGCTCAATGACAGCAACAGCTGTCTGATTCGGCGCCTGTTGCTCCACGCGCTGTGGTTCTGGCTGAGATTCTGCTTGTGTTTCCTTTGGCTCAATTGTGCTGGACAGCTGCACTGGCTCCATTTCCTCCTTTGGCTGAGCAGCGTTGGAATCTAAAAAATAATATTCATGAGCATGAAATATACATGTACATAATAACTATAATGGAAACACAGTCTCGATTCTCTTAAGAGAGAGTGAGGGTCGGATATGGTCCACGGCTTAATTAGGATGTCCATGGAATTGTACATTAATGGGCCACTTACCAGGTGCCTTCTTGACAGCCTCTTCCTTTTCAGTCGACTCCTTTACAGCTGCCTCCTTTACAGCCGCCTCTCTTTCAGCTGCCTCCCTTTCAGTCGCTTCCCTGTCAGCTAGCTCCCTTGCAGCAGCCGCCTCTCTTTCGGCCGCCTCTCGTTCAGCTGCTTCTCTTTCGGCAGCCTCCCGTTCGGCAGCCTCGCGTTGCATCTTCTCACGCACATCGGCGAGCGTCAGATGCGGATCTTCGAGATCTGTCTGTGAATATTGATTGTTTAGCTGCACATACGGCTTGTCCGCAGGCAGCTCCAATGGCGCTGCTGGCGTCGGCTCCAGTGCATCGGAATTGGGCGAGCCATGCGCATTGCGCTTATTGGCCGCGAACAGTTCACGGACATTGACACGCATGGCGCCCCGTGGCAGCTGGTCGTAGGCGCGCAGCAGCTTCTTGGGCGTCACATGACCATCGCAGCAGGGAGATGTCTTGCCGGAATTGCAGGGAAATAGCGCTGGACTGGATTTACCAGATGTTGTGGGGCTGCACAGGCTTTTGGTACGCACACGGGGCGTAGGATTGCTTTTGCGCACCTCCCAGGCGAGGCTCTGGGGACGCTGCTGCAGCGGCCGTGAGTCATAGTCCCAGCTGACCTTAAACCATTCGCTGAGCGCCTTGAAGTCACGCACATAATTCTCCAGCACAAGTATGGCCTCCTGACAGCTGGATATGTTCTCATAGCACTCGACCGTCTGATAAATCTCGTTGACCGCACGCTGCAAATTGCCAAAGAGCAGCGCCCAGTAGCGTGCCTGCAGCTCCGACTTCTTGTCCCGTCCCGTTGAGGCGCTGCGCACACGCGGTCCAGTGGAGCCAGCGCCCACGCCGCCATTGCCCGGCTTTGCTTGGCGCATCGTCGTCGGCGATTGGCAGTGTTTGGGCGTTTGCAGCCCGTTTGGCGATTTCGGCGGCGCCACTGGCGGCTTACGGCATGTGGGCGCTGAATAACCTAAAATAAATAAATTCAAGTTACAAAAGCCAAAAGAACGATCGAGTCGAGAGCTCACGACTAGGAGTTACCCTGTACACAAATATCTATAAGCTGTGCATGTTACACGAAACTCATAATCTTCGAGATATGTTCGAAAACTGCGGCTGAAGATCGATATTTATCGATTTATCCGTGCAGCAAAGGACAGTTAGCGATACTATGAAATCAACTTGATTAGCGGCCTTCGTAAAGGCGTCAGGACAAACGGACGGACGCAAACAGGGCACTTGACATTGAATATATTTATACTAGACGGAATAGCAGGCACTTATGCACTTTTTCGATTGGGCACAGGGTATCAGAAGTAACACAAAACTTTCAACTTACAATCGCCATTGACTACAACGCCGCCGTCTCTGGCCGCGCCGCTGCCAGCGCCAGCGCCAGCGCCGCCGTTTGCGGTTGTCTCATCGCAAAACTGGTAGACTAGCAAATTCTTTGCTTCGCGCCCCTCGCGACTCAGCACCTCTCGCATTTCCATTGCCTTTTTATTTTGTGGTATCTTTTTGTTTGGTATGTTTGCTGTTGTTGCCTCTGCCTCTGCCGCTGCCTACGCCAACGCCTACGCCAGTCCCAGACGCAGCTGTTCGCACACCTTTACGTTTGCAACTCTTTCAACAGTTCAATTTGATTAAGATTCACAGCTGCTGTTGCTCCATGCACAAAACTATGACTATTTGTTATAAATTTTAATTGATTACTATGCAATTCGTTGCACTCTTGTGTGGTTTTTTTTTATTGTCTTTTAACGGCTGCTGGTTGGCTTGTTGTTGTTGTTACTGTTTCTGTTGTTGTTGTTGTTGCTGCTGCCGTTGTGTCTGCTGCTGTTGCTGAGAATTTCGCAATGACAGATTGTAACATTTTTGCGCAATACACACGCTTGTACGTTTGTTTAGACACGCGCAGGCTACTTTGCTTGAATTGTTTTCAAAAACGTATTTAGCTACAGCTGTTTTTATTACTCTTACGCAGGTGTCTTTATTATAAACTAAAAATAATTTTAAAACGCTGCACGAACGTAGAACTGCATGCCAGACCGAATCAGCTGTGCGCCTTCTGTTTATCGAACAGTGTGTACACACACGCAAGCCAACAACATATCGATAGAATTTCGACAAGCGATATATCGCGTTATGAAAGTATTAAAGTGCAAGCTTTATTAGCTAGCCTACTCCTCAAACAGCGTTGATTTTGTGTACTGTTGTATATACTATTATATGGTCAGAGGCTAACAATAATTAGACATAGCTAAATTAAAACTATCGCAAGTTGTTAATATCGTTAGGATATATTAACGATGTATCGATAAGTAAATATATAATTTTGCCTGAATTTGTGTGTGCTACTAAATTTAATGTTTTTACGCCAAATTCTACGTACTGCAATTTAAAATATTGAATCCTCTTCTTTTGAATGGTTTATTAAAAATATTTTGGTAACTATCGCAACGGTTGCCAATGTTGATTGCTACGATATTTGCTTGACATCACTAATTCGCATTCCGTCACAAACAGTGTGTGTGCAAAGAAGAAGACAGGCACGCACGGACCGTGATAGCGGAGTTTTTGTTTTTGCATTCTTACCATAAAACAAATTGTCGATTTTAACTTATTTAATTAGCAATTTAAACAATTGCTCTAAACAAATTCCGTCTAAAGTGCAACGAAAATACGTAGTAAATATTCCAAATAAACAAAAGATTATTTGCCACGGCTGTCTGGGCTGCGCAACTGGACAGCAACAATTAATGAAATGAAAGTGGAAATCGTGTGATGTCATGTCGACGACGACGACGGCAGCGACGTCGACCGTTCTGTGAATTGAAACTTCCTGTTCTCGCTCTCTCTTCCTCGCCCTCTCTGTCTTGTGCCGCCGTATGAGAGATCCTTTTGAAGGCAGCCAAAAGTGCGACAAGTGACGGTGAATTAAATTTGGCAATAAAATAAAAATAAAAAAATATACGAAAAAAATTCCAATTTTCATTCCACCGCTCAGCTGCAAATGTGCCAGTGAATAGCAGCACAAAAGAGAAAAGGTGAAACGAGCCAACACACATACACGCACGCACACACACACACACACACACAACCGATTGCGTGTAGGTGTGAGTTGGTTTTCTGGAGCGGGCAACGGGCAGCCACAACGGACAAAGCACTCAAAAACAACAACAAAAGAAATAAAATAAAACAAGTTTTCTTTTTATTGATTTCCCTCCAAAAAAGAAATAAGTAAAAACAAAAATAATTGACGACAATTCCGCCCAAGCAACAGGAGCAGCTGCATTTGCCACGCCTACACACAGACTGTGGTACCGTCCTAAAGCTACACACACACACACACACACACACACATTCCCTCCCTATCCCCCTTTCCACCTGCAACACCCAAACACCATGTCCAGCCCAAGCGCCAACGATGGCGCCCAAACAGTACTGGATCTGCGCATGGAAGTGGAGCGTCTGACACGCGAACTTGATCAGGTGTCCAGCGCCAGCGCCCAATCCGCTCAATATGGCCTCTCGCTGCTGGAGGAGAAGTCAGCGCTGGAGCAGAAGTGCGAGGAGCTGGAAACCCTCTACGACAACACACGGCACGAGCTGGACATTACGCAGGAGGTGAGTACGAAAAAACTAAAACAGACAGTTCAACAGCTGTGTGTGTGTGTTAGTGTGTGTGTGTTAGCCGTTTCCAAGCCAATTGTCGCTTATCTAAAAGCACACACACACACACACACACTGGCATATGCATGCCTACGCACACACACACACACACACACACACACAGTCGCTGTTAGACCAAAAGTTTTGCAATTGGTTTTCAATTTGTCTTGTTGGCAAAAAACAGTAAGCACTCGTTAAAGCGTACGATAAGATTAGCAAACAATTGTTTGAGCGAAATATGTTTTCTGCTATCTGAACTAAGTAAGTCCTATTTGAGCAAGATTCATTTCTAAAACAGCTTTTGTAAAATACCGCAGTCACAATATGGAATGTGCACCATGTATTTGCTAAAAGCACGCTCTCTCTAACCAACTCGCTCTCTTGTTCTCTTTGGATCCGGCGAGTGTGACTGTCCGGCTCTAATAATCACGAATGATTTAATCGTTAGGTCTGGTCACATGTAGATTCTTTCGTTTTATAAACTGGGCTTGCGGTACTTGGCGTCGCCTCAGTGCACGCCCCCGCTCAGCAACAATGTTAGCTTTTGTGCTCCCCCTCTCGCTCACTATGGATTTTCAACTTCTCTCTCTCGCTCTCGCTCTTGCTCTGCCTGTCTGTCTGATCACGGTCAATTTGGCTTGCGCTTTATCATCGCCATTCTGTTTAGCTGCCTTTGTTGTTGTTGTTGTTTTTATTACAATCTGGCCAATATGCTTCTTTTTTTTTTTGCCATTCCATTTTGCACCTATGTTCGCCAACTGCCCGACTGGCAATTAGACACGGCAATTGTTTTGACATTTCCGCTGGAATTTCAACGTGCATTGCGGAAAAGCCCAACAACAAAGTTTGTCCTTCGCCCAATGCCTACAAAGGAGGGTTGGGGGCTAATATAAATAACTTTTGCCTGTCGGCTCATTATCATTTCGTTGTTGTTCACCCTTTATTTATGTACTTTTTTATAGTTGTTGCCCATGGCGTTAATTACTCGACTCGTTGCCAAAACAAAGAATCGATTCCAAGAGAAATGGCAAAACAAGAGAAAAATCTGTTCGTTTTGTTTCTATGTGGAACTAGTTCGCAATGGGAACTGGTTTATTTAAGCAGAAAAATTGTCAATACGTTTTAGAATAATTATTAAGGAATATGGAAATTTGATATGAAGTGTTAAAAGAGAATTGTGCACTGCAAAATATTGTACTATGATTGATTCATTTTTGGAATTTTCTTTTTAATAGAGAGTCGAATATTTTGATGGATAATGTCTTCTTCTATTTCTTTTTTAGTAATAGAACTAGTTCGTCATTAGCTTATTGTTTTGATTAAATTATATATATATATATTATCTTTCTATTCCAATATTCTTTATATTGAATTTAATGAATATTTAATTGTAAATCTATAAAATTCTGTTTTTCTCCTATCATTAGTAAAAGTCTTATTTCCGAAACCTTTTTCCCACTTAACCAAAAATCTTGCCAATATATTTTCGGGCTTCTTATAATATTCTCATTTACTTTTATCTGCACATATTTCTATTATATTTCATTTGCAAATATTCCTTGGCAGCTTTCAAAATAATTTGTTTCCCTAAAAAAACAAATATACTCATAGTATTTATAATTTTAATCAGATAAGTTAGATTTGTTATATTTAAGATTGCTTTTTTTTTCAATTTCACGCTTCTACAGTTTTCCAACTCAATTCCATTCTAGAATCAGTTTATAAGGCTCCGAGAACAGTTGATTAATTGGCCGACAGGTGGCGCCCACCTGCCCATTAGGCCGCTCGCTTGATAGTTTTCCAGCTTGTTAGCTTTGAACTCAACTGAACTTTTACGAGAGCCGCCGCTAGCAACACACCCTCCACACACACACACACACACGCACGCACACACTCCCACGCACACACACACTCATTTACCCTCGCATTAGTGCATGCTTAAAATTAAAAAAAAAAATAAGAGAGAAAAATTATTTGCGACGACGACAAACACTGCGGGCATTTTGTCTCTGCCGCCCGCCTGCCACTTGCAACTTTTGCAGGTTGAAGCGCCGGCTGCTGGGCGACATATTTCCACTTGTAATCAAGATATCAGCCCGTGGGCAAGACATAAATCAGAGCGTGGGCTAGGAGACGGATGTCAGGAGTTTTTCGTTGCAGCAGGTGGCGAAGGGGTCACGAAATTAGCCCGGCCGAAATGAATAGAATATTTTTGCATATAAAGCCCGGCGGCACAAATTTTCTCGCCGAATAGACTTTAATGCCCGGGCATTTCGATTACACGGCTAACTGTGTCCTCCGGCGCTGGACAGAATAACCGGAAAATTGGCAGAATGCAAAACTGCAGTCGATACAAGCAAATATTTAGACAGAGCTCAGCACGCGGGGCCGGCCAGTATCAACTGCATTTGGCCATTTATTTAGTTGGCTTTGTTGCGCCTGAGTGTGTGTGTGTGGCAGGAGGGGGGAAGCGTGGCGTTTCAGGGGCGTAACGAGGCGTGGTGTAGTACACATGTCGTTTGGACGTTTGCAACTGCGGCAATTAAGAGGCCCCCAAAACAACAGTCATAAAACCGAAGCCAGTTCAGAGAGCGTGTGTGTGTCTGTGTGTGTGACCATATTTTATGGTTAGCCTGACGGCAGCCAAGGACATTTCGCCTGGGGAGCTCGCCGAGTCGGGAGTCCTGTTGCCTGCGCATAGTTTTGCGGCTTGTGAGTTGTTAACTTGGTTACTTTCCTGTTGGCTCAGGCAAAAGTTTCTAATACAGACTTTAATAATTAATGCCAATTATTTACACGAACTCAAAAGGGGGGCAGATTGAAGAATTTGTAAGTGAGGCAAATAAATTAGCTGAGGAGAAGGTGAGGACACTTGCAATTGCAATAACAGCGCGAGCAACATCAAAGCGACAACCACGCGGACAAAGGACAACTGCAATGGGAGGGAGGAAACCAGCTGCAGGATGGCAAAAAAAAAAAAAAAGAAGAGAAATAAAATCCCGACGAAGAAATTATAATGATTTGACGCTGATGCTCTGTTCTGTTGGCGCAAATTGCAATTCCACGGCAATCAAATCCGGCAGCAGGAGCAGCAGCAGCAGCAACAACAAGGACAACAGACAATTGGGGCATGTTGCGGGGTTAAGGAGGGGGGGGGGGGGTGGCAAGGGTTAACTGCAGCGCTTGAGCATTGACAAAACATGTTTCCGACTCGGTTGCAGTCGCAGTTGTCATTTGTTGCTGTTGCCTGCAAGGGAAATGAGCAGGAAAAATGTTGCCAGCACCCAATGACAAATCCTCCCGCCCCTGCCCCTGCCCCTCACAGCACAGTTCTGGGCATGCTATGAAAATTTAAAAGCAGCTGGTGGCGCGGTTGGGCACAATGATGAGCAAAACTTGCAGTTGGAGAAGTCAGAAATACCCTGTACCCATAAATTATTGTTCAATAAAAGGAATATTGGACTTATAAATGGAGACGTATTCGACGAGCTGATTTGATTTGAAGACCTTCATTAGCTTTATGTTTATCATAATTATCGATAACTACTGTCGTTCCGCTCCAAAATCGATAACTATCGACTTCTAATATTATCTCGAAGACTCGAAGAGACTTCAAGATGGGCAAATCGAAGCTCCTATATCATATTAGCTGTTCACATTTTCCAATTGCCCGAAAATCGATAAATATCGATAAACAGACTTGATTTTTAGAATATTATTGCAGCTTTAAGTACTGGAAACTGCAAATTTCATATTTAGGCTCGCATAAGTAATTGCAGGGTATGTTGCAGTCGTGCACTCTCAACTAATGCACTGTTAGTTGACTTTATTTTTGGATGCCAGCCTTGGCCGCATAATGGCTATGCAATTTATTTGCACCCAACTTATTTGGAAACTGATTGGCTTCCGTCTAGGCTCATAGACACTTTTTATGACCCCAACCCGCGTCACCTCCGACTGCTCGCCCCAATCTCGAGCATCTTTGGAGTGTTGCCAATTTGGGTGCCACAAACATTGCCCCGGTTATGCAAATGTGTGTGAGCGTGTGCATCCAGAGAGTTGGACACATGATTGCGACTTTGCTGATTGGCTGTTAAGTGCAAATGATTTTTACTGCTTCTCTTGTTGATGTTGATGTTGATGATGATGATGATGCAGCAGTTGGTCTCTGTGTGTGTGCGGCGTGGCATGCAACGACAGTTTGCAGCACAGTTATCCTTGCTGCGCGTCAACATGCACAACATTTATTGTACCGCTGTGCTGAAAAGGATTTGCATGCATTCCGCTGCATTCCCACAATTCGCATATCCATTTACTTAAGAGCACAATTTAAGCATATTCGCACATCCTCGAAACCCAAGGGCATTACGGCTATGGCAAATCTTTTACTGTGGGTTTCTATAATCCCTTTTCGGTCTCTCAAGTATTAGGCCTGAGATTCGAACTCGTTTTAAGACCCAATTATCTATCTTTTTGCGTACAAAAGAGAATGCGAACAAGTTTGAGAAATTACTATAAACGATATTTATCGATATTTTCAATTTCAACTAAAAACCAACTTCAAGTCTCATTGTGTAATGGACTAATTAGAGCAAATGTAGTCAGTGAGAGGACTATATAAGAGTAATGTTAATCGATTGTTATCGATATTATATAATATATTGGTTTTCATAATCTGCAATCGATATTTATCGATTTTGAAAATTAATAAAGAATGACCAATTAATGTATATTAACTTTCATAGTTTCCGACTTATCCGACTTCAAGTCTAATTATGTCATGGACTAATTAGAGCAAATATAGTCAGTGAGAGGACTATATAAGAGTAATGTTAATAATCGATTGTTATCGATATTATATAAAATATTGGTTTTCATAATATGCAATCGATATTTATCGATTTTGAAAATTAATAAAGAATGACCAATCAATGTGTATTAACTTTCATAGTTTTCGACTTATCCGACTTCAAGTCTAATTATGTCATGGACTAATTAGAGCAAATATAGTCAGTGAGAGGACTATATAAGAGTAATGTTAATAACCGATTGTTATCGATATTATATAAAATATTTGTTTTCATAATCGGCAATCGATTTTTATCGATTTTGAAAATTATTATAAAATTACCAATTAATGTGTATTAACTTTCATAGTTTTCGACTTATCCGATATTTAGATATTATTTGTCACTTACCTTAACGCAAGAGCATTTAAGCGTCTGCTTAGCTATTTAAGCTAGTTCCTAGTTCCTTCCTGGCTTTCATTTAGTTGAGAGCGCAATTTGGGTTCCCATTGTGTTTGCACTGCTTCCGTATGCTGAAATTATACAGTTCTCTTGTTCAGTCGCGTCGCGTCGCTTCGCTTTGCTTATTTTCATTTTGGCGACATTTCAAATTCAGAGAGTGTCAAACGCGTGCATTGACATGGAGGCCACAAGTGCGTCCGCATCCCAGGCTTATGGTGTGTGTTTGTATGGGTTAAGAAATTACACGACAGCCTACAACAAAACATCCACAGCAGCAGCAGCAGCAGTTGTTCCTGTTTGTTTGCATTTCCACTGTTGCCTGCTACTGATTGTTATTTCCATGGTGGGGAGAGATGAGCTGTTATACCCTGTAACCATAAAATGTACAGAAACGGGTATAACAATGTGGATGAAAGATAAAATGTGGCATCATGTCTTTGCACTTGCGATATATTCCCTTGTGTAAATACTTTAGATAAAACTCTTTTCTTTAAACAAAATTTCAATTTATCATCTTTTCATCCTCCCAAGCGAGAGTTTGGCGATAGGCTAGCATACTTTCAACAAGTATAAAGATGGCCTCATGTTTTCTTCAACAAGAAGCTTAGGTTTCGTAAGGAAAAGATTCTTTAATTATTTTCCAAAGGTAATTGGAATATCAGTTTTCTTGGAAGATAAGATAGCGATGAAAAAGCGACAATTATAAAACAACGCGATAACCAGGAGTATATCGGATATAGTCCTTGATAAAAAGGCGATAATAAGGAGATATCGATCGAATAAAATGCAAATCTAGAATATAGAAATCCACATGCTTTAGTCGGATATGGTCTTTGATGGAAGATAAGAAACCGATATGTAAGAATTATAGATCTATAAATAAATTCTTATTGGCTCTTAAAAATTCTAGTGCATACGATGGTATATTTGATGGAAGATGAGAAAGCGCTAGTAAGCCGATATCCAACTAAATCTAGAATCCAGAAAACCATTCTTATTATAGGGTTATATATGCATTGTCTGTTGTTTACAGGGTATCCTCAAATTTTCAGCTGTTGGTGTTACTGATGCGGTCGTCATTGTCGCTTTCCACAAACAAACTGCTCAGTCATTCATGGCATACTTTATCAACAGCGGGAGTTGTGGGATGTGCGGTTTATGTGGGGGGCCACGTGGGTGGTGGAGGAAATTGTTATGAGTTGCCCATTGCCCGCTTTGGCTACCTCTGTGCGCACGTAGCGCCTCCATAAGGCCGCCACCCGTTGTCGTAATGTGGGCAATCTGCTCTATTTTTAGCAGCCGGACGGCAACCGGGACTGCACTGCAATGCCAGCTGTTGCCACGTCAATGCGGGTCTGGTCTGTGCCGGGGCAGCTTTATTTGGGCCATTTAGTTGCCGGCTGCCTAACAAAATCAACCGCAAGCACAACGCTTGTGCGTTGCAATGTCCAAGTGGTTGGGCAGGGGGGCGACCGGGCTGGATGTGGCCGTCGCATGTGGAACACACCTAAAATGCTTCGGTCTGGTCCTGTGCCCAGCCACACCTCGCCTCGCGTCGACTGTGTTAATATTTGCTCGACTTAATTAAAAATCTTTTCTAATTTGCATAAAGTTCATGTCCTGGTGTCATTTATTGTGGCTTTTGCGGCTAACTGTTGCCCGCTCTGACGCATAGATGGCGCCAGTGCATAAACTGTTCGGAATTTGCAGAGAATGAAGATCATGAGTGCTACTATGTAGTTGCTTAAATTTAAACTTAAAGCCAAATATTATGAAGGACTACAAATCTTACCGAATCGGATTTGTAAGTTTGGCGCTTAGAGTTCCGTTTGACTTAAACCTATGTTTAACTTTGCGTTTGAGCATCTACCCTTAACTCTTTCATTATTGTTTCGAAATGTTCTGGTTCTGGTTTGGACTGTAACTAAACAAAACTAAACTACCTAAGAATTCGGCTGACGTCAGTTTGTCGTTTGTTAACCCATAAAGAAACGTTCAAAAATAAAGAGTTTAAATATTTTTAGCAGCAGCTTAAATTTCATTTGAAGACCAATCCAAGGAACGTAGTCTTTTGTTTAACTTTTGATACGCAGCCATATTCGGGTTGACACTTCTCATATATATAGAATATGTATATATATATATATATATATATATTTAGCCTAGGTGGCGCCACTGCAACTTGCTTGGCTGAATGCGAGGGCATTAGAGGTCTCAAATTTCCAGCTTAGTTGCGACTGGCTTGGCCTTTTGTTTGCTTCGCATTCCCTTTCATCCACACTAATTAACGAAATGCACTTGCCTCTGGAGCCGGGGCTACGTGTTGGTTTCTCAAATTGAAATTGCTCTAGTCGGGTGTGTCCGACTGGTAGATGCCCTGACCACAGCAGAGAGCTGGCTTTCTTTTAGTCTGTCATGCACGGAAATACATGATTGTGCTGCTTTATCACTTTGCCCCACACTCTCTATGGGCAAACATTCTTGAACAACTTTCCTTGTTTATAGTTCTTTCCTAATCAGATTTAAAGGTTTTCAAAAGGGCATATCAAAGTTTGTGCATAACAAAACGCACGACTCTAGCTTAAGAAATGCGTCTGTTTTTTTCCAACTTCGGATAGATTGGGGAGATATCTTAAAAGTTATTCAGTTTTATTGTCAAATTTTAAACAGAATGGGAGATATATCCAAAAAGTGAAATATTCTCAAACTATTAAAAGTTTCGATAAGCCACATTCCAAGTTTAAGGTATCAAGCTCTTAGAATTGTCGAAAATGGCAGAAAGTATCGAATATTTAGGGTATAAAAGAAAAAACCATATTTGAATTTCCAAAATCGACCTATTCTCACAGACGATCGTGGCAAGATCTTTTAAGCTTGAGCTTCTGATCAAGAACCTTCTGCTGTCTGTCGCATACCTGCCCACAAAGGCAATATACCCTTTTAAAACATTACAAATGGGTTTTCGGGTAAAATAAAACTAAAAGAATAAGAATAAGAGCGTTGACGTCGCCCACAGCCATTGACAATAATTACACGGCCATAAAGCGAACGGAAGAAGGGGCTAGAGGGTAGGGGGTAGAGAGAGAAAGGATAGTCAAGTGGCCCAAAGGGGGCTACTGGGCTTTTCAGGCTATTTCCTTTTCAATTTTGGGGCGCGTTAAGTGGGTTGAGCAGCTTGTTATTTGTTTTCCCGTTCGTGGCTAAGAAAAGATTGTTAATTACAGCTGCAGTTAAAAGTATTCCAACAGTTGGAGCACTGCACATAGTAATCCACAGAATCTGGCCAAGCCTGGGCGAAAACCCAGCTTCTAGGCTCGCTTTGTGGTCATTTGCTGTGGCGACTTTTTCAAGTGGGCCGTTGGCAGCTGCTCTCGTGTTTGCTGTGCCTGTGAAGCACGTACACTTCAAATGGCGGCCGGACAAGACCTAACGACTGTTCCGTTGAGATTTCAATTAAGGCCCACACAACACGATTACAGCTCAGCCACACCCCAGTTGCAATCCCTCCTGCCTGCTCCTGGCCATATGGACATGTCGTTTGCCTTCAATCAGCGGCATTTACGGCCAAAGGCACAGGCTTGGCTGGCTTGCTTTATGCTTTATACACTGCAAGAACAAGGTGTATCAAACTGAAACATTTGTTGGATTTGCAAGTTTTTCATTCTGAAGTTGAGCTTGGGTGTATCCAAATTTTGACATATTTTAATATCTTCTTCTTGAAAATATTGAAAATATATATTTTTATTCTACCTATCGATAAAAGTAAATAGTTAATTTTCAAAGTTTCTACTACTTCTTTTCTCTGAGTGCACACATATACATATAATAAATACACATTTACCTCTTGCCGCGTCCTGACCGTGTCCTGCGCCCATTAAGCTTCACATGCACGCGCGTCTATGACGCACTTCGCAACACTGGCCGACGCAATTAAGCAACAACAACAACAACAAGAAAATCCAATAAATGCCAGCACATAAATCCAACTTTCAGATGCATTTGCTCCTCCGCTGGGAGATCTGTAATAAAGAAAAAACGCCAAAAAGAAAAAATATCTGCGCCATTTAATGAAAAATGTAACAAAGTGAAATAAGGGGCGTTGCGTCAGCCGCACAAGCACAGCTCCCCAGTGACTGACGCCCCCCATTGGCACTGCCCCTGCCCCACCCTTGCCCCTGTCCCCCGTCCGCCTACACAACTTACACATGCAAATGACTGCAATAAAAATGGCAGGCTGGCAACTTTTATGATTGCAATACCCCTGAAACGTGGGCCGGGTTCAGGGCGAGTGAGTGGAAGGTAGGGTAAGGGTATATTAAGTTTGTATAGTTTATAGAAAAAGTTGAGAGCAGAGTAAGATGTAGGTGCATATCTTGACAAGGAGGGTCTGATAAAGTCTAGTTAATTTTATAAAGTCACAAAAAAAAAAAAAATAATATAAAATTTAAGATTACAAAGGAGAGCGCCTAGGACATCCATAAAAAAAATGTTCTGCCTTCTAAAGATATTTTCATATAAGATATCTGTATTTTTATAAAGATATCTTTATCTTTTCCATATTTTCTAACCCCTTTTTCCCTCACTTTACAGGCGCTCACCAAATTTCAAACCTCACAAAAGGTCACGAACAAGACCGGCATCGAGCAGGAGGAGACGCTGCTGAATGAGTCAGCCGCTCGCGAAACATCGCTCAATTTGCAAATACTTGATCTGGAGAATGAGATTAAGCAGCTGCGTCATGAGCTGGAACGTGTGCGCAATGAACGGGATCGAATGCTGCAGGAGAACTCGGATATTGGACGTGATAAGAGCGACAATGAGGCGGAACGGTTGCGTCTCAAGTCCGAGCTAAAGGATTTGAAATTTCGCGAGACGCGCATGCTCAGTGAGTACTCTGAGCTGGAAGAGGAGAACATATCGTTGCAGAAGCAGGTCTCCAGCCTGCGAAGTTCGCAGGCAAGTGCTCAAGAATTCTAGAATCCCAATCAACTGTGCCTAACTATTTATGCTTTGCCTCACACAGGTGGAGTTCGAGGGTGCCAAACACGAGATACGTCGCCTCACCGAGGAGTTGGAGCTGCTGAATCAACAGGTCGATGAGCTGGCGAATCTGAAGAAGATTGCCGAGAAGCAAATGGAAGAGGCGCTGGAGGCACTTCAGGTGTGTGTGGAATCATTTTATAATGCCCAAGCTCCTATTTTTTAACTGTTGCTCTTTTCATTCGAATCTCAGGGCGAGCGTGAGGCCAAATATGCGCTGAAAAAGGAGCTGGATGGTCACCTGAATCGCGAGTCCATGTATCACATCAGCAATCTGGCCTATAGCATACGCAGCAACATGGAGGACAATGCCAGCAATAATTCGGATGGCGAGGAGGAGAATCTGGCGCTGAAACGCCTCGAGGCAGACCTAAGCACAGAGCTCAAATCGCCCGATGGCACCAAATGCGATCTCTTCTCCGAGATCCATCTGAACGAGCTGAAGAAGCTGGAGAAACAGCTGGAAAGCATGGAGAATGAGAAAGCCCATCTAACGACCAATTTGCGTGAGGCGCAGAGCAGCCTGGACAAGTCACAGAATGAGCTGCAAAACTTTATGTCACGCCTGGCGCTGCTCGCCGCCCATGTGGATGCGCTGGTGCAGCTAAAGAAACAAATTGACGTCAAGGATCAAACGGCCAGTGGGCAGGCAAGGGATGAACAACTGCAACAACAGCTGCGCCAGTTAATCTCACAGTATGCCAATTGGTTTACGCTCTCCGCCAAGGAGATAGACGGCCTCAAGACTGACATTGCTGAGCTGCAGAAGGGTCTCAACTATACGGACGCCACCACTACCCTGCGCAACGAGGTGACCAATCTGAAGAACAAGCTGCTCTCCACCGAACAAAAATCGTTGGATCTGCAGTGCGATGTGCAGACCCTAACGCACATCTCGCAGAATGCGGGCCAGAGCCTGGGCTCGGCGCGCAGCACTCTGGTGGCGCTCAGCGATGATCTGGCGCAATTGTATCATCTGGTCTGCACGGTGAACGGTGAGACGCCTTCACGTGTGCTGCTGGATCACAAGAGCGAGGACATGAGGTTGTGTACAAATCGATATCTCTGTCTAACTTCTATGCTAATACTTTTTTGTTTCGTCTGCCAGCTTTGAGAACGATTCGCTTACCGCTATCCAGTCGCAGTTCAAGTCGGATGTACTCACAGCACGCCCGCAAATTGTTGAGGATTTGCAGGGTCTGGCCGATTCGGTAGAGATTAAGAAGTATGTGGACACCGTCAGCGATCAGATCAAGCATCTGAAAACCGCCGTCGAGCATACCATCGATCTGAACAAGCACAAAGTGCGCGTCGAGGGTGGCGAATGTAAGTGTTCAGAGTTCCAATTAAGAGTTGTCATTCCTATCTGACAGCCATCTTTCTCATTGCAGCTGTGGAGAAGGGCAACACCGAGGAGGTGGAGGAGCTGCAGGAGCAAATTGTCAAGCTCAAGAGTCTGTTGTCCGTGAAGCGCGAGCAAATCATAACGCTACGCAATGTGCTCAAGTCAAACAAACAAACCGCCGAGGTGGCACTCACCAATCTCAAGTCCAAGTATGAGAACGAGAAGATCATTGTCAGCGATACCATGTCCAAGCTGCGCAATGAGCTTCGACTGCTCAAGGAGGATGCTGCCACCTTCTCAAGTAGGTCAATTAAAGTATATGTTATAATGCCTGTCTTAATACCCTTCCAATCTCTTGTTTTTGCGACCAGGTCTGCGCGCCATGTTCGCAGCACGCTGCGAGGAGTATGTGACCCAGGTGGATGATCTGAATCGCCAGCTGGAGGCTGCCGAGGAGGAGAAGAAAACGCTCAATCAACTGCTGCGCTTGGCGGTGCAACAAAAGCTGGCGCTCACACAGCGTTTGGAGGAAATGGAAATGGATCGGTGGGTGCATTTGGGTCGCTAAAGCAAGCAGCACAACACAAACCCTATCAAAAGTCTCTAGTTATACCCCTTGTAAAATATCCAAACCAAAAAAAAAAACAAACCCCCAACAATCAGCACTTGGTAAGCATTTTGCATGCGGCAAAACGTGTTTGCATGTGCGCCCCGCTAACCGGCTGTTGCTGCTGCTGGAAAATACCTAACCCAAGCTTGGAGTTGAAATTGAGAAATAGAAGCTCAGAAATAATATAAAATTAGTGTAGTTTTGTACTAATAATAAAAGTTGATGGTTATAAAACGTTTGTAAAACCCCTTAAAAGCTGCTAACTAACTTCTTAACTTGCCTGAAGTTTAATAATTGAATTATAATCGATACCTTCTGCAATTTTCACAGCGAGATGCGTCATGTGCGCCGTCCGATGCCACCGCAGCGCGGCACCAGCGGCAAATCCTCGTTCAGCACGCGCCCCTCCAGCAGAAATCCGGCGAGCAGCAATGCGAATCCCTTCTAACATAAGATCAGCGTGCAGCGTAAGCTTTTGGCTTTGGTTTATACTTTGCTTAAGTTGTAAATTCGTTGGGAGCATCGTTGGACAACATGATGAACCACCACCCACTCCGCAAACGGACAGACACACACACACACATACTGCAAATGTATTTGTGAACGATGCTATAGCTACGGTCTATCCTATATTAACGATAACTATCTATTTGTATCTGTTTCTATTTGTATTTATTGAGAGTTTAGTTAGACGAAAGAATTTTTGTGTTAGGCGAATCACGCAACAAACAGTTATTAACGGTTAGTTACTTAAACGTCCAATTAATTTAATTAACAATTTTGAAAATGCAAAGAAAAACAGAAAACAAATCGAAACTAACGTAAACAATTGTATTTTTCTATATATACAAAACACATACACATATATGTATTCAATAACGTTTTAGTTCGATTTAAGTTGAGTTTTGTTAAATTTTCGCGTTGATTGTTTGATTTTTGTTATCAACGCTGTGCGCAAGCGAAACTCAAAAGAATGAGGAAAAAGAAAAAAAAAAACTAAAACAAAATTTTTTGATATGATAATGTTTGAAGATCTAGCAAGATCTAATTGGCAAATGAAAAACCCATGTATTAATTGGCCTGATAACAATATAAGTATTTTTTTCAAAACGGACCGCCCACAAATTTGGCGTCCAAAAAAAAAACTCTGTACGTAAAGAACAAACAGAAACTCTTGTCAAGGGGGAGGGTAGCTACAAAAACCCAAGATAATGGGTGCAAAAGCCACATGCCCAAAAAAAAAAAAAAATAATAAGAAAATATAAAATGTAAATTCTACATACATACTATATTTATATAAATATGGAAAGCAACTATTGAACGATGTGTAGCAATTGGGCTGCGTCTAAAAGACGGATTTTTCATCTTGTATTTACCTTCAATTGAAATTGTAGTAAATTAATTTTTGTTTGCAATCAAAATATAAAAAAACCAAGTTTTTTTGTTTATTTAGCTGCTGAAATAGTCTATAATTTGTGCATTATTATTTAATTTAATTAATAAAAATAATTAAAACAAAAAAAAAAAACAAGAATTAGCAAGAATTCTTTTTAATTTGAGCCCCATATCATATTATTATATTTTTTATGTAACTTGTTACTATAGAAAATGCTCAAGCACTGAATTGAGCCCGATTTGCATTTTATTTAAAAATAAAAAAACAGCAACAAGATCTTTTTTATTTTGCCTAGGAATGAAGCCTTTAAAAATAGAATACTCTATTTATGACTAACGAGCAGCTTAACCAACATAAAATAGCAAGAAAAAAAAAGCGTTAAAGTTTAAACTAATATATTATTATTATTATTATCAGTAAAGTAGCTAATTAATTAAACACAAAAAGTAGTGACTATCCACAGCACATTTCAATCGCATCCCAAATGGCAAAAAATCAATTTGTGTTTCAATTTGTTTTGTTGTAATGGAAAAATGAGAAAGAACAAAAAATTGAAATATACAAGTGCGTATATTATGTAAATTTACCGAGCCATTAAATTGAATTTATATTTAAGACACACACACGCACTCACACACACACACACATCGTCCACTCACATACATAGAGATTAACTGAGATTTGTCAGTTGCCTATAGAAATTGTTTATGATGAAATTTGTAGAGTTTGAAGAGATGCATAAATACATATTTCAAAATGATTTTATTGTAATTTTACCGTCCCTTTTTGCAACAAAAAAACAAAAAAAAAAAACGAAAGAAAATAAATGAAAGTTGAACAAAGTCTATTTATGAACCAACAACAAGAACAAGACGAAACAAATACAACTTTAAGTTTCATGTCCAAGCATCCAAACATACATACATACATCAATATATACATAATTACATACATACATATGATAGTTGCATCGATCAACCCAAAAAGCCAAAATATTGATAGCCAACAAAATCAACAACAACAAAAAAAAAACATATTGAATAACTCAAGAACTATTTCAATTAACAAAGAAAAATATAATAGTTTTCTATTTCACACAAAACAAAAAAAAAAAAAACAAAAAAGAACAAACTTAAAAAGTAAAAGCAATTGAATTTAAGAATTGAAACATATTTAAAATAAGTTTTATGATTAAATACGATAAAAACCTGGCAAAGCTACAATTTGCCAGCGGGGTTCAAGTGGACATACATACATATGACAAATGCAACAGTGTGCAAAATACGATGGGAATAAAAACAAGAAATTAATATAAATTATACATATGTGAAGAATAAACAAATTAGCAAATAAATATGCATTCTTTTCTTGAACGATTTGTCGAAGTGCGAAAGTAAGAGCAGGCTATTCGCGCGCATGGGTTATTTTTCGTGCTTCTCGTGTTCGTGCGTGAACACGAATGCATTAGGTCATGCACGTATTCATTGTCACCTTTGAATTGTAAGGCAACAAACTTTTTGTGTGCTCAATCCTAAAAGAGCTCCTATTAAAGCCTTAAAACGAGTGAGGCCTAGTTGAACTCATGAGAATTGCATAGAAGAGCAATACTCAAGAAGAATTTTTTACAATTTTCAGCACAGTGGTAAAGAAGCTTGATCTACGATTGGTATCAGAGAATATACAAAAGACCACCCACTTTCCCCCCGGCAACAAATTTACATATCTACTTAGAAAGTGTACCTGGAGGAGAAGTTATTCGGAATTGGTGAATTACGTCGTGATTTTCAGAATGAAAACGAGACAGCTTGTCTTTCTATAGACCCCTCTACGAACTGCTCGTTACGAGATCAGCATATGGTACATACATTAAGACATGTAAGTACATATAAGAGTACTTCATACTGTATACTTACAGCTAATTAAACAAATTCAATGCCAGCTAGTATATGTAGACGATCTTGTCAGCTCCATCAATAGAAAGTCAGTCACATTTAAACTGTGAATACCGGGGCAAAATATTTAAATAACAATCAACCTAGTGAATTGAATTATTTATGTATTTAAAATAAAATCACAACTCGAAATGTAAATAAATGTGTATGACTCCGCAGCACGTTATCGATACCGATTCCAATCACTGGCGATGTCCAAGTCACGCGCCATCGTCACGCGGCGAGCAAAACTACCGATATTTTAGCCAGGCGCCCAGCAATTGCAAGACGCGCGACGATGCTCTATCGAACAGTCGAACAACAAGCCAATACATACATATACACGCCAGCCGGCAGGCCCATGCACACACACACACACACACACACACACACGCGCACGCACACATACACCGAGATAAACACACACACACACACACACACACACACACACACACTGGCGTACATGCAGAAACGAAATTTCATGCTGAGTCAGTGCCTTCCTTTGCCTTCTGCTGCCGCTGCTTTGGTTGGTGGTTGGTTGCAGCGTTGTTTCTGTACGAAAAACCAGTGTCGTACGCAGGGGGGTTGCCCTTAGGCGTTATAAATATGTAATGAACGGTAGGCAAATTATATTGTGTGATATAAACAAGAGAAACTCCTAATACTTATTATCTTTCCGGCTTATATCAAAGGGCCTGTTTTCTTTTTCTCAGAGATAAGCTTATATTTTGTTAAGTATATCAATCAATAATCGATTTTACTTAATTTTTATGTTAATTTCGCCAAAAGACTTTTTTTTTATATTCATTTAGGAATCGAAGGTTCAATTTTAATAAGCACTTTATACAAATGCACGGCAATTTATTTCGTTTTCTAACATCGGACTTGTTTATATTAAGATAACACGAAAAGTGTGAACCCCCTGCACAATACGGCCGGCTACGCCCCTGGGAATATCGCTTTATTGGTTGGTGAGCCGTCGCCCAGTGGAACTTCGAAAATTTTGTGTTGTCGAATTGCACAAACCGAACATCAGGCGCACAGAAATAGCGACAGGTGCTCGCCATGATATAGTTGGATGGCAACTCTTATTGGCTGCCGTCTCAGCTGCTGTCGCTTGGCGCGTTCAACGCTTACGCGCGCACACAGACACAGCGAGCGCTGACTGTGTATGTGTCGTTGTATTGTTTTTAAATGATAGCGGCCGGGCAGTCAGCTGTTACTGTTACTCTGACTGGTGCGACAGGCGCAGACCAACCAGAAATGCTTTAAAGAGGGATAAAGACCGGCCCAATGGCCAGTAATCAGCTCAAAAACTGGCCGGCACATTTGATATGGCTGGGGCAACTGGCAGAGCGTTACTCTGCCCTTCAGCCCCTCTTCCTAACTTGTTGTGGTTCCCAACTCTGCTCCAGCTGCAAGGTGAAGTTCTCGCTTTCGCGTAGGCTCTATAATTATGTGGGTGGAGTTGAAAGACAAGTACGTAGAATTAACCAGCTTGCTCTATTGGCCTAAATAATGCATACGTATTTGTAAATTTAGCTGTTTTACTTTAAAAGAACTCAAATAATGTTGTGCTTGATTTGAAAAACATTTAACGTTCAATTCTGAGTATACCTGCGTTCCCAATCCCATTCAAAACAGCACACACATTCACACAAATACATACATACATGCAATACATACATACATATATGCATCTGTATGCATGTACTTATGAACATAGAGTACTTGAATAGATAGATAGTTCATATAGTTGCTAAAACGGATGCTATAACATTTATATTTGTATGAGAAGAAACATTAATCATTTTTAAGGGGTATTCAATGACGTCAAATGACAATAAATATTTAATTAATAAATATTTCAACTGTTAAAAATTGTTTGCATATAAAAGTTCTGTAGAAAGAGAATAGAAAACAATTTATTAATCAGCCCAGTCTATAGAATTGTTTTCTAATTAACATAAGTCGATTGTAGTATTCGATACAAATTGTGAACAGACAACAAATTCTAAATAGATACATGTATATATATGCATACACATACACACTTACACCTAGTCACACACACATGTAGTTTCTGGCCGATCCGTTTTAAATGTTGGCCCTTCAAAGTTTTAGCAGTTGCCTAATTAATAATTTCTATACACACTATAAATTGCATGACCTTCACAGGTCGCACACACACACACACACTTAGTTGAGTGTGCGTGTGTGTGTGCGTATGCATGCAGGGCTGTCAATTATGTGGGTGGAGTTGGAAAATCATATCGCATTGGCCATTACTGTGCCTCCTTTACCTGCCGTTTTATGCTCGATGCTTGATGATAGGGCCGAGGCCTATTGGCGGCGGCTTAAATTGGCATTCGGTATTTGTAATTGGCTTTTTGTCTCTGTCCCAATAAGGGCTGGCAAGAAGCAGAAACAAGTTACCACCACACACACACACACACACACACACACACATGCAACAAGTGGGCGCCACGTTTTCTGCGCGCTGCGAGCACAGCGAACGCGGCTAGCATAATGCAACAGGGGCAGCCCAGCACACACACACACATACACACACACAAACACACATGCATACACACACATGCACACACATAAACACACACATGCATATCCCATGCGAGTTGCAAGCGTATTTTTTGCGTTTGCTCATTTCAAACAATGACAGTAAATTTGTGTAGTGCGATTTGTTGTATCGCGCGTCATTTAACAGGCGCGCAGCATTTTCAGGCAGCAACTTTTTGTGCATTTTCATCTGGTCGTAGAGCAGCACAGCTATACTGTGCGCTGCAGTCGCTGCCTGTGCTAGAGCGAGCTGGCAATAGCAACATGCGCGCTTGCTGCGTGGTTTGTGTCTCGGCTAAACGTTGAGCTTTAAAAGTTTTGGTAGTACATTTCCTAAAAATGGCC